TCCAGGTTCGAACCCACTGACGCGGAGCCAATACTTGCATGATAAGTATGACCCGAGTGGCCAGCTGGCGCTGGTGGAGGATTCGAGGTGTTCACCATTCCCAAGGAAGCCCCATCGATATGGCTGATGGTATTTGCTCTGGGACGCATGTTACTGGAGTTACTAGCGATTGAGTTCTTGCGAACCCGGTTCGCTCCAGTGGATGCGCCTCCCGTGCTCTCTCGTCGACCATTTCTGGGACGTGATGATGGCGTTGTAGTCATGTGTAGTTTCTGCTGATGTCTGAGAAGGAGATCCCGACGAGCGAAACAACGCGCGCATTCGGGGCATTCAAAGGGCTTTTCTTTGGTATGCGAGCGCTCATGACGTTTGAGGTGTTCCAACCGAGCGAAAGACCGGCCACAGGTCGTACATCCATGAGGGCGGGGCTTGTCAGTCTTGGGAGGAGGCACATTATTTTTGGCGTCAGATTGGCCGTTGGACTCCTTCTTCGAGTCCTCTTTGGGGGCAGCTGGTCTTGTTAGGATTCACGGATAGATAAGCATACTCCTCGAAGAACATAAGCTCACCAGGCACATCGACCGGGACCTCGCTGATACTAGCAAGGTCCTCCACCTTGGGGCTCGTGGCCGGGTCCTGGCCGACCATTGTATCTAGTAACATCCTAAGAATGTTCTTCTGTTTTGTGGGAACCAGTTACGAAAGCACTGGTTGCGGGGGCGGGGTCTGGAATAGCGCGAGGTGGGGGTTTGTTTTTAAGGTAGATGAAGACGACAAGCACTGCCAAGAGAGGAAGGACAGTAGACGTGACGCAAGGAAGAGCTACTGGTGAAGATTGCGAAAGATATGCGACATTGACAGCATTCTGATTCAATGAGATCAGAGTTAGCTTGGTTCGTTGTCCGGACAAAAGATGCAGCGAATAGAATGCAGCAATGCCACGGGAAGCTCACCAAGTCAGGACAGAAGTCGGGGAGAAGAGCAAACAAGAAGGCCGTTATTCGGGGGGGTAGTAGTAGTTTCAAGGTAGGTTGAAGAAATAGAAATTGTGGGCGGCGATAACTTGATAAAGTGTAGACGATTAACAGGATCACCGTTACAAAGGAATTAGACCAAGTGGGTGTGGGTGGCGAAGTGGCTCCGTTCCTGGGGGGAGAGGCAATCGATCTCGGGATTAGCAACTGTAATCAGCAGGGGTTGAGTTTCCAGGCTCCAGGGGGAACCCACGGGTGGCTACTCACCAAGCTCTGCGCACGGAAAGACTCGTGCGGATGGACTTAATCACCCACGAATGCCAGAGACCATTGAACCTGGATTCCTTAGACGAGGATTGTGGTAGAGGATAGGATGGAGGTCAGTTGCGCGGGCATGCGCCGCGATGGGTGGTGTGAGTCGGTGGATAAGCCGGAGATAGCCGACTGGAGTTATGGGCGGGTGTGCTGAGCTACTAGTAAGTAGTAGCTGTGCTTTAATCAATTGCAGATAAGCAGACAAGAGGGCGGTATGTGGCCCGAAAAATAGCTCAGAAGAAGGAGAAGAAAGGCACACTTTGGGGTTGGGGATATGGGGAGAGGAGGGGGGGGGGGTAATATGAAAGTAAAAAGAAAAGAATAGTGGTAGTTGTAGTAGTGGTTAGATAGATGTAATTAAGAGGGATGGAAGGTGAGCAGGAAGGATGACTGATGAATGGGGGATGGGGGGATGAGCGTGGATTGGATGGGTGTAAGGCTGTACTCTCCGAGGGGTGGTCAGTACGAGCAGGAACCGCAGCAGTTAGTGGCTTCTGCCGCAGCAAGGAAACGCCCTAGTAAGTAGTCTGGCTGTTGCACGGGGAGCACCAGAACTGAACAACTCGCAGGATCGTTCGCAGTGGTTTTTTTTTTTCTTTTTCTTTTCTTTCTGTTCTTTCTTTCTTTCTTTTAACTCACTCACTTAACTGGTACATGCTCCGAGCAGCTGGTCGGGTTATCTAGTGGCAGGTCGATGGTATGTCGTAAGCAGGCGCGGTCCATTCACCTGCTAAACCAACTAGTTAGCTAGGTAGTCATTTCCAATTGCCAGATATGTCATTTCGTTTCGATTTATTACTCCATATTATTTCTCTGAAGTATTGGGATCGCTCCCTCCGGTTACGAACAGACCAGCCTAGCCTCCCAACTAACTGATGGCCGGACTACAACCTACCACCTTAGCTACCCAGGCCGAAAGTGACCTTTTTCTTTTCCCCCTTCCTTTTTCAATTTTCTTTTTTCTATTCTGTAACCTACATTTTGCCAGCTTGAGCAGTGAGAGGCCCGTCTAATTAACTAAACTTACCCCGGCGAATGTTGCGGGACAAACCCACGAAACAGCATCCAGCTTTAGTCACGGCCGTCCAGCCAATAATGGTTCGTGACGGGAAACGGAGTGGGCCGGGTGGCTCTGGTCCGGCGTGCTTTGGGAGGGAAAGCATGGGCCATGACAGGGCCAGAGCCAGAAAGCGGGCCCCACAACCCAGTCACGGGGGAGTGGATCCTGTCCCAGCCCACAATACGGTCACATCCCGGCCGCACGTATTGTCATTTTGTATCTCCTGGGTATTCGCTCGTCACGCAGGTCTCTCTCTCTCCGATCACTTACCTCCTGGGCAGGTAGTATCTACTAAGTTACTTCCCTTGCTAGTGGGATGATTGCTAGTAAGCTAACTAATTAACTAACTAGCCAGCTAGAGAGACAGACAGAGGAAGAGAGCTATCTACGTAGACCGCGACCTGGCCATCTGAGCCCGTCCGATGGCCGGTGGAATGATCCTAATTACGACACACACCGTCGTCTAGAATGTCAACGATGGCCCTTCGGCAGGGGACACGGCCGAGAGTACAAGGCATTAACAAGGAGGCAGAAGAAGTATTAGACCGGAGGATAGACTACCTTAGTCGTGCATGACCAGCTTCGTCAAGATCATCAATTTCCTCTCATTGTCTTGAGGGCAACTTCCAATGAGACATGGAATACGAAGCACTAGCAACGAAGACTATATCGTTATTTTTATCCCGGTTAACATTCTATGAAGACACACTAGTAGGATGAGTGGTCTGGTACCTAGGCCTGCATAAGTTGTGTTCTGCTTCAGAGTAGTATTAGTGTTGTCGGTTGTTTTGAGACAGTGCCCTTCGTGTTTGTCGGCGGTACTCTTGCTCGCTCTGTTTAATACTGTAACAACTAAGTGGTATAGGAGCTCAAATGCTCACTGTGGCTTGGTGGAAGGGTTTCGAATCCATCCAAGCTGGAGCTGTTGTATTTGTCGCTGGAGATCTCTAGAAAGGGCGCCGGTGTTTACAGGATGAGCACAGAGCAACACTTGAAGACTAGGGCCAGTTTGCTGCAGTATTAGTTGATCAGGGTTTTTCAAATCATGGGCATAGTCAATTAGCTTGTGCTGCTTCCTAGAATATTGCACCCATTCGGGATACAACATAAAGTCTGTGTGGTGAATTAGGTTCAGTCTGGTCTGTCACGAAAGAGGTAAAGCAGGCGGTGCCATTCGGAGACAATACAAACACAGCCTCGCCTTTCTAGAACCTCGCATGCTCTTCTAGATCCTGAAGCATCCAAGAAATCCCGACGACGCAAGCAGCTAATGACTCCACAAAAGGTTGCTCGCCAAGAGACGACTCGAGATAGAAGATTATGATTATCTCGCGTTACTTACAGCGTTTCTTTTTGCAACCGGCCACGGTCACTTATCATCGGCAAATGTATTGCAGATTAGATTACCGGTGAGTTGGTGTGTCACTACTAAAAGTCAAGGGCGCTTCAGGCTACCGGACTAGTATGCAGACTAACTGGATCAGGCAGGCTCACAGGCTGCAGGCCGATTGTGGCCGGTCCTGCTTTTTTTGGTGTGCGACCTGGGGTAATTATTGATACGGCGCGCAGGTAAGATATGGTAAGACCGTAAGAGAAGCCATACCGGTTCGGTCTCCAAGCCGTTATTTGGCCCGTCTTAGCCTCTTGGGTCATTTCTCTCGGCAGGAGCCAGAGTTCAGGGTGGAATTCAACCCCAGACCTCGTGACTGCCCGGATCGGCCACTATTTGCCTCCGGCTTTAGCAGGAGCCACGATGGAAGCGAGATCCCAGCCAGAAGCATCCGTCATCCGTATGGGGTAGGAACAAAGAGGGAAAAGAAACCACGTCGACGGGCCGGCTGGTTGGGGTGTTGGAGGGAAACCATTAAACCTTCGACGGCTACGCCCGAGTCGGTGGGCTGCCTAGCCCTGCTTAACTGCTTACATATGTGGTGGCGGCTGGCGCCGCTTCAAAAACCCCCCAATCAGGGTAATGGAGGGAAACAATGGAACTGATCGTAATTAATCGGCAGCTGGCGCCAATTTGGTAGGGAGGAAGACGTTGGGGGGTGGAGAGAGACACAGGAAAAGGAAGGACCGGTTGCGAGCTTGGAGCACTGGACCATCTTCTAGTCTAAGTCAGTCAGTCAGTCAGTCAGTCAGTCAGTCAGTCTATCTCCTGCACTAGTTTCACGACCGGACCGCAGCATGGAAAACCGAGCCTGCGCCATTTTGTGGGGAGGACGAATGAGAAGGTTCAAGGTTCGTGTGGGGGATTTCCCTGGATCCAGCGGGTATTTTGCCAATCGTATCCGTTCGATCCATTGCTGCGGGTGGGACCCCTGAGGTCATTCCACCGGCTGGAAAGTGAGCTGCCTGGAGGGAAAGAAAGACGAATGACTGCTTGATGAGCTGCAAAGTATGGTACCAAGCTGATACCTCATCGTGTTAACAAACTGTTGGGAAGTCAAAGTCGCTAAGACCGTACCAATCTCGACGAACGAGAATGGCCCTGTTACTCCCCCAGCCATCTTTCCTCCAAGATGGAACACAGATGCGCCTAGGCATCCAACTACCTAGGTTCATCCTTCCTCGCTTCCATCGGGCGGTGTCCAATTTTGGTCCCAGCTACTAAGGTTGATTGACGACTTCTTTTTTTGTTCGGTTTCACCTCATCTTCCGCGACGTCCCCATCGGGCAGTTGATCGTTGCCTAGTGGAGTACCTTTCCCTGTCAAGCGGACGACGATGAAGACTTGGCAAAGGCCGTGGGCGAAATAATCCGGAGCTCATCGGTTGCACTAGTAGCTTCCGACATTCCACCGCCCGTTGATTGGATCTGAGTGCCGGCCATAGCTGATCATCTTGGTCAGTTTCCCCAAAGACTGGCGTCCCCTGAAGCACTGGGGTCGGTTCCCTAGGAACAGCGCGTTCGCCCTCGATTTCCGGGAACGGACAACCAACCAACACGAGTAATCCCTCCAAAGTATCGTGTCCACGTTGGTCGCATTGGCCAATCTCGTCTCCAATTCCAAAGAGGTCACTGGCGCACGCGAGTTTGACTTTCATGCTAAATTGTCTGAGCATGGGTATCGTCGCCATTCCGAGGCAGGCCCAAACACAACACTAATTAGAGTGTCCACGCATTATGCACAAGCGACTGTCCAGTCTTATCCAGGATGTGCATGGGGGCAGTGCGGATGGTTGCGGACCTGCTGACTGTCAACTTTAACGGGCGGTTGTTGGTCGCACGACCGCTGTGCCGTCGCAATGAGAACTGATTTAGAACAGAACTCCCAGTATCAAGTAAAAATTGAGCAGATACGGTTCCTGTGTCTTCAACCGATATATTCCAGTCATGGATTATAGAAGCGCGATCTACAGAATGAAAGCTATACTCCGAGCGGCATACAAAAGCTCGTCCTGCTGGAGCCTGTGATATCTCTGTAAAGTGCCAGCGACTTACAACAACAAGCGCACAAAAGAAATATCCCATGTACTTACCGGGTTGCTAACATGATTTGAAGTTCCTATGGAACCAAGATTCCTTGCAGCGTTAAGGGATGGTGTTGCATTGGTAACCTATAGTGCTGCACGAGTATCCCATTTATCCAGGATTAGCCGCCCACCTTTGCTGCCGACGTGAGTGCTACAATGACCGATTGGTTGAACATGTCTGGCAACATCCCACGTTATGACGTCTATGGGCTTTTCGACAGAAAGTTGAACAATGATTGCTGGCAGTGAAGGTGTTTGAGGACAGCTTCCATGCATGGATCTAGCACGGGGTCCATGGTCCCTCTACGATACGTCGACGGTGGGATATGCTAGATTTTATCCGCGCATTGTAATTGAAGACTGTAGGAGAATCTCAAAATTCTAGGATCATGGCTTGAGGATGGGACGTTGTCGACCGGTGTTGCACAACCATCTCGAAACGAGCAGTATGACTCGTGCGAAGCATAATTCATCGCACCCATGGATAGCGGACACGTAGGAGTGAGCTGAGCTCGCCAGCGGTTATTACACCCTTCCGAGGTCAGTTCCTTCAGTTCCTTTCATCGCACGGTCCCTCTGTCTGGCTGACCACAGACCCTCGACACCTGAGGCCACCGACAGCTCAAGCGCCATTTAGTGCGGTGTCAGGTGGTGCACCGGTGGTATTATTGGTATTGATCGAGCAGGTACGCAATACCCTGGATCTACACACACGCATCGTCACCACCAGGACCAGCTACTACTGCGAAAGCCCGAGAAAGAAATGGGTAGTCGGCAGGACGCTAGCATCCCCTTATATACAGGTACCAATTGCGGAGATGCCAATCATCACGTTGGTGTTGCCGCAACCTTCGATCCGCCGTCAAGGTTACCGAGGAACGATACGTTAGTACACCTGTCAGAAACCGAGTAATCCGAACCTAACCAGTCTGGGGTCCCGTTGCGGAAGATCTCCTACCAGTGCCTCCTTAGCGCTCTACTGGAGACGGCTGGTCCGAGGGCGTTGTGGGTTAGGGGCGGGTGCGATCGTGTTACTATACGACTTGATGCATCTGAGATTCACCAGCCCCCATGAATTCCCAGAGGAAAAAACAGGAAACGAGACCTCACTGCTTTCCCGCGAGATGCGACGAACGCTGTGCTATACAGACGTCAACTAGCGATGCGGATACCTAGAGCCGCCCGACTCGAGCGTGTACATATGCGAAGCTGCCGACGATCTGAGACGCATCCAGAGGACGTGTTGCACAGATGATAGGCGCATGAAGCATCAACCTAGTAATCTGAGCAAGCTTGGCAACAGGATACAGACAGGGATCTAGCAACGGGTGTCACGGACCACTATGATCCGATATGGTGCACTGCAGCGTCATCAGCCCTCCTGTACTCCGTACGGACAGCTATCCATCCATACGAAGCATAGAACAATCGCATTGTCGATCCTGCGCGACGTGAGTAACAGGCAGCCTGAGAAGAAAAATCTCCGACGGCGTGCATGGCGATCGTGGAATACAGGCGCCTTGGTGGTCTTTGCTCGAGCGGATATGCAAGATGGCATCATGGGCGCGAGATAACTTCTGCACGGGCCGTGGGACTCGTCACAAAAGTAATAATACTTACAGGATAAGGCTGTAAGCACCGAGTCGAGGTACCCAGCTTGTCCTCATCGGGATCTCACGCGTGCTGTCTTCGCGGGTACTCCAGGGATGCTCACCACCGTTTTGCGCAGGCTGTGCGATGAGGGATATTCAAGTAGCCCCGGTCGACTTTGGGATACAATGTGCCCTTGATCTAGGTGCTGAATAGCTGTTACATGCGCTGGTCGACCACAGGGGGGCACGGAACGCCTCTAGGGCTGATTTGCTATCAGATGGCCGGATATAACTCCCTAATTACGGGCGACTGAAGTAGTAGCACGCCATTCCTTAGTAGCTCCGACAATCCCCCAATGGCCGAGTAAATTAAGGACCGGGATGATGATAGGCCCGCTGTCACTGCAGTTGTCCTTCTTATCCCACCCCACCAGTAGCGTCCCCACTCTTCAACATTGACCAGTAATTGCAGTCCGTCATGATGTGGTGTTGCACTGGCCGGTGGACATCCCTCCACACTGCAATTGGCACGGGAGGCCCTCCCCTCCACATTGTTTTGGCGTGTTGGAATAGTAGCCAATTGTCTTCGAGTCGGTCTCCCACACCATCGCCTTAATCATCTAGACCCAGACAAACTAGTTAGTAAATAAGTAGCAACGTGCGACGGTGACGAGATTAATAATATACCTGTGAAGTGTGATTTGATCATTGAAGATAAGTGACCAACAATTCGGTGGTTGGAGTAGTAGTAATAATACCTCGCTGACTTGCACTCCAATGACCCCATCCGGTCTAGTAAGATGTGATTGTTAACCACAGTATACTAATACCTATCTGGACTAACTAATCCACCTTTCTATGTATGCAATATGTCCGCGCTCTCCCATCTGTGGAGAAAGCTCCTTGGCCTGATTGTTGCATGATATGTAACCTTGCCAGTTGCCAGTTGCCACTGCACATCCTCAAACAACAGCATTGAACAGCAACTATAATAGTAAATATGGTGGGAAGCGCGCAACACACACAATAATACCCACTACTACTACTAACTAACAACCAATAATCATCACCTCCTCACACCCACTACTACTTTACTAAACAGGGATTCCCCCAGTTAGCTCATAACACACAAGCCCATTGAAAAGCTGACTCGACCGTTCCTGGTGCTACGCGGTCTCAACCTAGGCAACATAAGACCTACAGTAGCGTTATGCAGCCAGCAAAAGTAATTGAAATTAGCGCGCTATTATTCATTCCCTCTTTTATTATTATTATTTTTTTTTTCTCTCGATAATTGCTTTGCCAGGCTACCAGCCAGCCTAGCTAAACCTGTTTTGTAGTACACCTTCTCCTAGTAATTTTCTAAACTACTAATGCAAGTCGCTTCGTATCTAGATACATGATGGTATTACCCGCAGTTACTCCGAGGAGATTTCTCTTAACTTGTAAGTTTCACTACACTTACTTTAAGTACCTACTAGTATATGTAATATTCATCTTCTATTTTACTCCAACCAGCTTGTGGAGTGGTGGAGCGGAACTGCGGCTGAGCCTTGACGATCCTGCACGCTACGGGAACGGGATTATGCTGGTTTTCTTGCTGTCTTGCTTGCTGGTGTGTGTTAGTTGTTCGGATGAGGGATATTTTGGGCCCCAGAACGGTTGGTGTCGGATCACACTTTCTTTACTCTACTTTACATCTCCATACTATTATTATTCTACGAGGGTTTTCGGACGGGTGTGGGATGTAATGAAATGATTTTCAATTCATTAGAAATATCCAATTACTCACTCAATCACTCAATCACTCAATCATTCATTTATCTTACTTATTCCCATTGTACGACAAAATAGCTAAACTCCTAGACAGATAGATAAGTCTACCTCGATAGCTCCCCACCACACCACACCTACTTACATCTTAGTTCTTTCTTACTTCCGAGGTAAATAGATAGAAAGACAGATAGTAGATACTTATCCATCCGTCTTTCCGTTCGCATGCGCACACACACCTAAATTAGCGCCATAGCGCTGGGCCCCCTTCTAAAAGTCTTCCCGTGCCACGGGCCGCCGTGCAGAACGCGTTGCAGGAATGGAGAGGAAATTAATAGATAGTACATACGTACGGAGTAGATAGATAGGTAAGGAAGGTATCCACGTCCGCGCACACGCGCCCGGCCGGCCGCCCGTCATTTTTAACCAGCCCACCACACCTACTTACCTTCTTACTGCAGTTTAGCTAGTAGCTACTAGGTTAGGAGAGAAGACCGGTTGGATGCACGGGCCTTTGGGTGGTCCCTGCATGGGGAATGGGAAAGTTACTATGTTATGTTATTTACTGGGTTATACGGTATTGGGTGGGTGATTGGATAATGGATGATGGGTGTTGTTGGTGTTGGGTGTGTGGTAGGTAGGGATGAAGGAAGAGTATGTTAACTATGTCTATGTTAGTAGAAGTGAATATAGGGCACTGAATGAATGAATGAATGAATGACTGCCTGGTGAACCTGGCTGAGACGTTAACACTGTATTTACTTAGGTTTGTATGGTAATAATGTGTACCGGCTGTATGCAATCAGAAGCAACGGAGATAAGCCGATCCTTTAGTAGTTCTGCGTGGTTATTCGATGTCACGGCCGAGTAACACTTTGCTACTACTCACTAACTTAGTAGCTAACTCACTAATTTACTAGTAAGTTGGTTAGTGAGTACTACTACTCGGGTCTGGCTGGACTGGACTGGACTGGACTGCTGCTATTGCTATTATTGTCTCAATTCTCGTGCACTGCACCCGACTCTAGACTGCACTTCCACTGTCACCTTCTTGATTCGGGATTCGCCTCCCTCCCTGCGTCTGTGATGGCCTATTTTCCCTTGCCTCGTTGCTGTTATTTTTGGGAGATGTAACGAGGGATGTCATGGTTGTCGGATGAAGATTGCCGATCAGGAAGTAACGTAGTTAGTTGGTGTGTATGTGTGTGTGTGCCAGCTGAGTCTGTTGTGGTGTGTGGTGGTGGTGTGTTGAGAGATTTCTCAGAATTCCAACACTTACTCCCTATGTACTACTCAGGTAGCATATACTTCCTACTACTTTCTATGTCTACCAGACAGTCTTGCATCTACTTCCGCTGCAGAGAACTGTCTGCTGACACCCACTCACCGAACCTTGCAGAAGCCCATGCAATAATTCACATAACATTGCATACATAGAAGGGCTGTATTTCGCCGTGCTATAGATCTGGGCTGACGCGCTGCGCAGGTATGTCATCTGGCAGCAGAAGCTTGTTTGTCATTGTTTGTGGATTTTGCTGCGTAATTGGATATTGTAGGTAGGGTGCAGAGGTCCTTGCTTCTTCTTGTAGTCTGTTTCTGCTTTGCTGGGAGGATAACATTGGGTATTTTGTGGTCGATTGAGACAGAAAAGTCTGTTCGGAGAGGATATATCTCTATTCAAATATTCGCTTTTTTACTTCGGACATATTCAATGAGCTCAGAGACCTTGGTGGAGGATCCATAAATATCACATGCTTCGGTTCGGTGGTTATTAGATAGACAAAAATATAGATCAGGGATACTCGTGTCAT